AAATGTTATGAAGGTGACATTTTATATTTTATGAAGCAAAATGTAAATTTGATTCAATTACCTTACTAAAGCAACACAAATAGGCAAAAGCCCATTCTGGTAATTTTATAATTTATGCACATAACTAAGTATGATAACATAAAATATTATTTACATATCAAAACAAAACTTATTAAAGTACAGTAAAAAAGAATGACATGACACTTGTTGATTTGGTAAAGGAAAATAAAGCTTAAAAACATGATTTTTATAAGAAAGAAGCACTGAAATAAAAATTTAAATGATATCTTATGAAAACACGGTATATTTGATTCAGTGACTTTTTAAGTCCAAACTTACTAAGGAATTAAAATTATATAAAGCTGAATTTAGACAAAATATACTATACACTTTCTAAATATGAAAACATAAAATGGTGCTTACACAATAAACACAGTGGAAGTTCCTGAAATATATCACTAAATTTTCCCATTTTTTCCCTCTGAAGCAAAATTTTTTTCCCACTTAAGCAGCTTTGAAATTTATTCCCATCTTCGCAAATTCTTCAACCTTACTTTTTTCTGATACTGCATTATTATAGGTGAAAGAATATGCAGATATATATCTACTTTCTTAAGCTTAGAAATTAACAGAAAAAAGTTTTGTCACATTTACAATTTTCTATTTCTTTCTTAAAATTTCTATTCCATCTATTTATTCATTGATTACTTTTAACTTTAAACGGCTAAAAAAGAAGTCCTTTCATTTTAAAATTAAATGAAATTCTTGCTTTGTAATTTGAATTTAGTTTGTTTTTCTTATATATATATATATATATATATATAAATTTTTTATAATTTCATAACCAAAAAGATTCTTTATATTGGGGAGTACCTATTAATGTCCATTTGAGTAATGCTTGAATTTTGAGAAAGAGGGTAAAATAAAAATGCTCCTAAAAAAGGTAGTCTCTTACCATGCAACACTAGCTCTCGTTCCTAAGCAATTAACATAACAGGAGGTTGCAACAGATCCTGCTGAATACATCGAACAACTTCAAAGTTGCATGCAGCAGCTTAAACCTAAACCAACTGATTAGAATGGTGATAGGGTCATTCACTTGAGGTGTGAAATTTTTTTAATGTAATTTTTACAAAATAATAGCAAATCTTATAACTGAGAATAAATAGTTACATAATTCAAATTATTAAAATTGTGTGAAGATTCTGATGATCTCTGTCAAGTATACCAATATTTCTGTATGGAAGTAGCACATATCATGGTATCTGTTTGCTATGGTCAGAAAGTTATCAAAGATTTTTGAACTACTTCCTGATATGCTATTGAGTTCAAATTTCGTACACATACCGATTGTGGGTAATATATTTTGGCAAGACAAAGTTTATAAAATTCCATTCACAATTTTTAGAATTTAATGTTGAAACTATCTTTTACAAATATTTTCATTTAAAGAACAAACTAAAAGTCCCAAATACTGATAGTTTGCATCACTGTATAGAACATAAAACATTCTTTTAAATAAAATTTGGATGAAATTTATGTCATTTGAAATTTTGCAAGAAATTTTAAAAAATCAGAAGATTTTTTCTAGTATTTAAGTTGAGAGAATTATCAGAAGTAAAAGACTGATTATTCACTGTTGAAAAATGATTCTTCAGTGGAATTATTCTGTTGAAGTTGTGTTATTGAGATTAAAAGAATAAAAAAATTCTTTTAATAAAATAGTATTTTATTAAAAACTCATAAAATCCTTAATGAGCCCAAAGCAAAATAATAATTTTATCGTATAGTTTAATGGAAAAACTGACAAGCCTCATTATAAAATCCATGCACAGTTTTATATTACAAATAACAGAAGTGCTAGTACTAAATAATGAAATGAAATAACCAAATCGCATTAAAAGTATAAGCTTTCGTGAATTTATCAAGAGCACCCCACTTTTTGATTATTCATGATGTAAATTTGTAGATAAATTTTGTAAAGAGGATTAATTAATTTCTTTACCCCAATAATCTATATAATAAATTAATTTTCTCCTTTTAATTAACAATTTTATGAACTAAAAATAAAAGCTTATTAATAAGATTTAAATTATTTAAAATTAGATTTTTATAAAGCCAAATAATACTTATTATTTTTTTAATTTTTCTATTCCTTAAACAGAAATTTTAATCCTCCTTTAATCTGTTAACTGGGTATGACGAAATTTTTCGTCATGCTGGGAAGACTATTTCAATGGGTATGACGAAATGTTTCGTCATGCTGGGAAGACTATTTCAATGGGCATGACGAAATGTTTCGTCATGCTGGGAAGACTATTTCAATGGGCATGACGAAATTTTTCTTAATTTTTTTGCAATCTGTCACTTCACCGTTGTTCAAGAAAAATCGATCAATGGAAACACTTGTCCGCTCATAAATTGTGATAACACTCCTAATTTGCACAACTTAATTTCATTTTAGTCTGCATTTCAGTATTTTACATATTAGTAATAACTTGTTGATTTGAGTAATTGTTAGTTTTTATAAATATGGCTAAAAATTATTGTGAAGCAGAAAATATTTTGAATTGTCTGAAAGTGACAATGAAATATGCCCGGGAGGTTTGGTAAACGACGTCGAATTCTAAGAATAAAATACCAGTTCGGAAGAAAGCGATAACGACTTCTTTTACTGATGGTCCGGACATTGAATCAAAGGATGATGATGTTATAGACCAAAATACTCAACCCGACATCAGCCTGAATGGAAATGTGAAAGAATACTGCGATCGCCTTTCCCGTTTTTATCTCAATCTAAGACTTACATTTGAAGGACCTGAAGAAAAGGATTGCCTTTTTTATTTCGAGAAATTTATCGATGAGAATTTTGTAGAACTTATTGTGGAACAATCAAACAAATACGCCGGACAGGTTTTTGAAAAAAATACTTCCATGAAACCACGTTCAAGATGTCTCTCGTGGGTTGACACAGATGACTGAGAGATGAGAGTATTTATTTTTTTAATAATTTTGCGAGGAATAATAGGAAAACCTTTTTATCAGCTTTATTTCACAAAGCGAGAAAGTCTGGAGAGTCCATTTTTTTATAAAACTATGTCAGAAAAAAGATTCCAACTGTTAGTAAAATTTTTACATTTTAGTGATAACAATGCTTTCGATCTAAAAGTCTGCAACAAAAAAACCTACAAAATCGATTCCATTTTGAACTATTTGAGAAACAAATTCACGTACCAGATAAGGAAATATCTGTAGATGAGTCTCTTTTGCTATGGAAAAGGAAGACTGTCTTGGAAACAGTACATTCCATCGAAAAGAAAGTCGATTTGGTGTTAAATTGTATAAGATATGTGAAAGTAAATCCGGATACATAAGTGATTTCATTATATATACAGGTAAAGACGTGCAGTATGGTTCGAACTATCCAGAAGAACAGGGACCAAATCGTATGTTCTTGAATTGTGCCACGATTTGTTGGATAAGGGATATACGCTATATCTCGATAATTGGTATACTAGTACTGATCTAGCTGAGAAGATGTGCAGAAGAAAAACCGATGTTGTAGGAATAATGTGAAAAAATAGAAAGGGAATACCATCTGATATAAAAAATTGTGTTTTGAAAAAAGATGAACATATTGCTAGGTACAGAGACAAAATAATGATTATGAAGTGGAAAGACAAAAAGGATGTAATTATATTGAGTACTGTTATATTGAAGACATTAAATTTGTAGAAATAGAAAAACGATATCAAAACCGGAAGTTATCGCTGACTACAACAAAAATATGGGAGGAGTTGATCTTGCTGACGGACAAATGAACACTTATGAAATCGCTAGAAACCAAGTAAAAAAGTATTACTATGAGATATTTTTACATGCACTAGACATGGTGTGTTTGAATGCATATCTTTTATACAAGAAAGATGGCGGTCACTTAGATAGGCTTCATTTCCTTATCGAAACTGTAGGAAAAGGTGTTGAAAAATATAGAGACGGATCACAGTTTCCATCTACTAGTACAGGACGATTATCTTTGACACCAAAACCATCTCGACTCTTTGAAAGACATTTTGCAGACTATATACCTTCTGACTCTTCAAGAGTAAATGTAACGAGAAGATGCAAATTATGCTATTCCAAAGGTCTTAGGAAAGAATCGAGATTTAGGTGTCCCGACTGCAGTGTTGCTTTGTGTATGCCGCATTGCTTTAGGGAATATCATACGAAATAATTGTTTAAATTCGTTCAATTTGTTTTTCTGGATTAAAAATGTTTAATTTTAATATCATTAAATATTTTAAAACGATTTTCTTTTATTTATTCCTTGCGATGTGCTGAAATTACTGCAAAAGAAAAAGTCCCCATTGTGAAACGATTTTACTGAAAGCTTATTCCCCAGTTAACAGGTTAAAACCATAATTTTTAATACCCCTTCTATATGCACTCACTTTCTAACTCGTAAAAAATTTCTTGTTTTGTTAGAACCATGGTCTTTATCATAAAACATCAAGAAGATATCTTTCTGTGCTATTGAGGGTCATTACCTATTGCTGCACTTTCACCTCCAAAAGGCCTATGGGGATGAAAGTAAGATAAAAATCTGGACTAGTTGTTGATGTGTCTTTTCATTCTAACAAACATATTGACAGGCCCATATCTGAGAATTTATTTAAAATAATTTTCTGTACCGACGCATCAAGGAACATGCATAAAAGAGCGAGATAATCCAGGGGAGAACCATTAAAGGATTTTTAAAAAATCCAAAAAAGCATACCTTCCCTTAGGCAAACAGTCCTAATGTACTTTAAAATCAGATTTATAAAAACACATAAAATACAAAGCATAATACAATGTTTATAAAAGAACATAAAATACAAAGCATAATACAATGTTTACAAAAGAACATAAAATACAAAGCATAATACAATAAGTTTAAACTGAAATAAATGCTATAATATAAAAATTCTGCATTTTCTAATACAAAAATCGATACTCACTATTGGAGATTTGAGAACCTCTCGTTATACTCAGAGGAATGTTCCTCAAATGAAAAATTCGAGAATTCCAAAATTTGCCGATAAATTTCTGAAGCCTAAATCAAAGATTACATTCATTATTAACTATTATACACCTAAGTAGCTACCATTTACACTAAAACAATAAATTAATATAAAATGAAAAATAGTTAACTGAGCAAATTAAAAATTGCACACCAGAGAATATTTTGCCTGTCTCTTAAAAAATCTTTTTAACAGGACTAATAATTTTTGCCAACTAAACTACAAAATAATGAAAATCATAAGTTAAAACACAGGAAAGAAGAAAATTCTTTGGAAAGATTCTTTTGACAGAAACATTATCATCATACTTAACTAAAGAATAATCCTTATTTATTTTACAGCCTCATGATATTTATCTTAAACATGCATCTAAACACAGCAGAAAGCATATCCCCAAACAATTTGAAAGAGAAATTTGTTTCAGATTCTTTAAAAGCGAAAAAACAAAATAATACTTTATTTACTCGCACATTTCTCCACCTCGTACTTCCCCCCCCCCAAGTTTTTTTTCAGCATATGGTTTAGCTTCTGACTTACAGTAGCACTGAAAAATGTGTGCACAAATAGGAAAGTATTTTGCGTAAGAATAAGAAAATCTTACTTAAATTGATAAGTTCTTTGAAATCGTGTTTTAACGAAAGCTTCCTGCCACCGCAATTATCCTTCTTCATTATTGAGGAGACAAAGAGAATGATCTTCAATCATTATTTTGATTTGTCTACCTCGAGGATTAGTATCCTTGTTCCCCCAAAGCGAACTATGGCCGTCAAAGTCGCCTATTATGACAAAAGGTTCAGGCAGTTGCTCTATTAAACTATCCAAATCCCTTTGATCAATGTGAACATTTGGTAGCAAATAAACAGAACAAACTGAAACCAAGGTCCTTGTATTTATTTGGATGGCAACAGCTTGGAGGCTTGTAGTTAAAAGAAGTGAATTGCTCGGGTAGTGCAGTGAGGTGAGGAGACTTACACCCCCACTAGCTTGTTCACCTACAATATTGTCTTTTCTAAAAATTGAGAACCTTTGAAGTTGTTTGTTTTTCTGGTTTCTGTAAAGTTTCCTGCAATGCGAAAACTACAGGATGATGCAAATTGATCAAGTCTTTAATGTTATCAAGATGTTGATGGAAACCGCAACAATTCCAATAAATGAGGGTGGCCATTATGTCCGATTTTTGTTTTTTCTATGCTGTGTTTTGGTTTTATGTGGAAGTAGGTTCTTCCAGATGTTCAATGCTTCTTCCACCTCCATTTCTGAGTAAAGATGATCAGAGCTACAGCTCGAAAATTTTATGTTTCTATCAGGCTTTGATGTTTTCTGTTTTTCTTTCACTTTATTACATTCTATTGTTATTATTGAATGTTTTGGTTTCACTTGCGTATCCAGTGTAAGATTTTGGACTGGTTGTTTATTTTGTATGTTTATTGTCTGGGTGCCTATGGATTTGACCGATTTTACTGCACTTGCATAGAATAGTTTTTCGAGACTGCGACTCTGCTACCAGTTTTCTTGCTTCTGCATAAGGAATATTTCTACTTATTTTAATTTTTTGCACCTCCTTCTCAGATTGCCATTTTGGGCTCGGTAAGTTGAGAGAATGCCGTTTGCTCCCGTTCGCAATTTGCACATAGTGCACATTTGTGACATTGCACTTTTCACTGTCATGACCTTCCATGGAGCATCGTGCACATGTGAGTTAGCCACGACAGGACATTTTTTAGAGGCCATATCGCTGGCATTGAGAACATTGTAAGGGGTTAGGTATGTAAGGTCTTAAGAGGCAGTGCAAATACCCGGCTTTAATACTTTACGGCAGATCAGGTGAATTGAAAGTCAGGATTACGTGTTTCGTATTGACCAACTGACCTTCTTTGCGCATCTTGATCTGCCTTGCAGAACTGACATTCTGATTGGACAGCTCCGAGACAATTTCTTCTTCTAAAACAAAGAGTAGGTATCTCACATCTTGATCAGATATAACACCCCGGCTGTAATTCAATGATTTGTGTTTTGTCAGATTAACATTAACTTGCCCAAGTTTTCTGAGTTTGAGAAGGGTAGCAGATTGAGCTGGAGAAACTGTTTCTATAAGGTCTCCAGAGTGCAGTCATAGTGGCTTGTATAAGTTTCTGTATCAGGAATGGTGACATTTTTTTAAAGTTCACCTTTAGAGTTGGTTATGACAAGAAATCTGGGTAGAGTAGCTTGAGAGTTTGCATTCATATTTGTTTTTACCTTTTTAGATGGAACACGTTTCATTTTTTTCATTGTGAGAAGCCATATTTAAGAAGAAAAATGATTCGGACTCAGCAGCCCTACCCACCACGAAGCCAACAAAGGGATGCAGAAACCTGCGCCAGAGTTAACCGGGTCTATACGCAATCTGAAACCTCACAGTCGACTTTCCCAAAAGCAGGAACTCCCGAAAGCTTATCCCCAAGCCACTGACCCTACGGACGAGTGACCAGCCGATTGATACTAGTGTGGACAACTAAGTGCCACTCGTTTCAATCTGAAGCAGAGGCCAAAGCAGTGTGTTGGGGACAATACCTTGTTCCTCAACTACCAGGACCCTCCTTTCCAGCCTTATGAGTCACAACACAACAGCAAACGTGTAGGTTTTCTCGCTGTGAGGAATTAGAAACAAAGACATGCATTAGAATCTCACTTTGAACCCAAACCTCCGAAAAGGAAAACCACAAGGGCAGAAGAAAAGAAATTATCACAGATAAGGAGAGATGAAAAAGAAAGGAGAAAAGATCACTAGGGCTCCAGAAGCGTGACCCCCGTCTTACCAAGAAAATGATCCCCTGAAGGGCTAGGGTACCTCGGGATTGCCCCACCTGTACTCACAAAAGTGAGCCCCTGAGGGGGTTCTTAAAAAAAAGTAATGAGATATAATACTCAGCTGATTTGCTTGCGTTAGAGTAAAAATACTCTCCGAATGTGCTTCCTTAATTAAAAAGGAAAATGAGAAAAAATGGCAAACAAAACAAAAAACGAAAGCAAAAGTGACACTTCAACATCGGTCGCTACAGTTAGCAAGCATTTTGGAAAGCGGACCCAAAGATATAATTTCTCTAACTGGAAGCTAAATTTTGAAATGCTGCAATTACAACAGATCAAACGAAATATGATTATTTCGTGTCCTTTGACGATATATTATCACAAGTGTCGGACATTCTGATAATCCCTCAAGGGATGACAAGTATGCAGCTATTCAAGACAGACTAATTTCCATCTTTGCCGAAACCGAAAAACAAAAGACCCAAAACTTATTAACCGAGATGAAATTGGGTGATAGAAAACTTTCACAGTTGTTATGCGAAATGAAGAATTTAGCTTCAGATAAGGTAGGTGAAGCTTTCCTTAAAACTCTCTGGCTTTCTGTCTTCAAAGATTACACATGGCACTCTCAAGCATTTTATCCATCAGTGGCAAAGATTTAGCCAAATTGGTAACAATGGCCTTAAAATTGGGGAAATAAAATCTGCATCACATCAGAATGCCACTGTAGCTTGCTCTAGAAATGACAATGTTTTAGTTAAATTATAGAAGCAGATTTCAGAGTCATTCCTACAAGTTAGCAAAGTGAATAAAGACATTATTCTAGACATCAACAATTCAGATACTGCTTTAGAAGTAATTCCATTAATAGGCATAGTAGCGGAAATGAAAGTTTATGTTATTATTACTCAAGGTTTGATGATAAGGCTTTCAAAAGTGATAATCCCTGCAATTGGCCTAACAAAACAACGTCCACTGGCAGGAAAAACAAATCCCTGATTATCACAGATGACAGAGGGCCAAGGGGTAGAGATGCGTCGTCTTTTTAGTTATGACAAGGAGAGCACCATGCAATTCTTAATTGATACTGGCGCCGAATTTTCATTATCGAAAGAAAAAAGAGCTGTTGCAAAGCTGAAACTCTTCGCTGCAAATGGAACCAAAATTAAGACTTACAGGCAAAAGTTGCTAAAATTAGACTTGGGACTGAGAAGAGCATTTGATTGGTCTTTTGTCACAGCTGATGTTGATAAACCAATAACAGGTATTGACTTTTTGTCTCCCTTTCACCTTTTGGTTGACAGCAAAAATCGCAAATCAATGGCATCACTTCATTGTCTTCTATTGGTGACCCCTCCTATGGTGTTGTTTCACCAATGGTTCATGCAGTGAAGAATCAGTACGAAGTAATCCTCAAACAATTTCCAGATCTTTTGTGGCCAACATTTGTCAATAATAAAATCAAAAGTCACAACATTGAACATTTCATTAAAACTAAGAGGGCTCCTGTTACAACTAGAATCAGAAGACTCTCAGCCAAAAAATTAAAAGCAGTAAAAGCCAAATTTGAGTTTATGTTGAAAGAAGATCTTTGCAGGCCTTCAAAAAGTTGTCGGCCGAGTCCTCTACATCTCACCCTAAAGAAATCAAGTGATTGGAGGCCATGTGGAGATTACAGGGCTCTTAATATCACCACTCCTGATCGATATCCTCTACCATTCCTCACCGACTGTTATATTCTACAAAGATTTTTTTCATCCATTGACTTAATTAGAGCTTATCAACAAATTCCAGTGCATGAAAGCGACATCCCAGAAATGGCAATTATAACTTCCTTTTGGGCTGTTTGAATTCCCATTCATGACATTTGGTTTACGCAACATGGCACAGACATTTTAGCAATTCATGAATATGGTACTATCATGATTGGACTTTACATTCTGTTATTTAGATGACATACTAATCACTTCTCCAGATGAAGAGTCACGTCATAAACACTAACACACAGTTTATCAAAGGTTATAAGACTGGTTTATGCATTGATGTTGCAAAATGTAATTCTGGCACTTCTAAACTTAATTATTTGGGGTATGAAATCACAACTGAAGGAATACATCTTCTGACGAAAAGTTGAGGCCATACAAACATACCAGAACCCACATCAGCCACCAGCTTGCACAGGTTCTAAGGGATGATAAATTTTTATCACCACTTCATCCTAAAGTAAGCTAAGCTTCAACAACCTTTAACTTCACTACTCAGTGGAAGATGTAAAAATAGTAAAAATACTGCTAACTTAGACCGAAGATAATCGCTATGCGAGAAAACCTCAAACATGCACTTTGTCACACTACTATGCTGTTCATTCCTCAACTGCTTCTACAATATCTCTCACATGTGATGCTTCAGATACAGCTATCAGGGATATCATTCATCAAATTGACCAGGGAGAGATGCATCCATTAAGTTTCTTCTCACGCTCTTTAATTAACACACAGAGAAAGTAGTAACACACAGAGAGCTCTTGTAAACCTACATGACAATAAAGCATTTTAGGTTATATTAGGAAGGTCTTTCAACATTGATATGGACCACAAACCTATCACTTTCGCTTTTCAACAAAATTTAGACAAAGCCTCTCCTAGACAAGCAAGACAATTCAGTTACACTGCTCAATTTTCAATGAATATTTACTTCACCAAGGGGAGAAGAAAATGTTGTTGAAGATGCTCTTTCCAGAATTAATACCATCTCCAACTGATTATGCAACTATTGCAGAACTTCAATATGATGAAGAGTTAACAATTTAAAAAAACCCAAGGCTGAGAATTGCTCAGATTCTCATTCCAGGCACTGACAAATTGATTTATTGTGGTGTCTCCACCAACAGTAACCACCCATACATACCCTAAAACTTTCACCGACAGATATTGTCTTCTATTCATACCCTATCTCATCCAGGGATGAGAAGCACAAGAAAATTAATCACGAAAAGATTCAAATGGCCAAATATCAATAAAGATTGACAATTATGGTATAGGGAATGCATGGAATGCCAATGATCTAAGGTTCAAAGACATACAAAGTCAGCTCTTATTGACTTCAAGGTTCTACCTGAACATTTTCCACATGTTCACATTGATTTTGTTGGACCCTTGCCTTCATGTCAATACTTACTAATGACGATTGATTGTTTTTCTAGATGGGTTGAAGCCCTTCCTATGGTGGATCAATCAGCAGAAACAGTTGCAAAGAGTTGCATCTCAACACGGATTTCTCGTTTTGGAATACCTCAGCATATGATCAAGGACGTCAGTTTGAAAGTCAACTTTTCTCATCTTTGAGCAATTACTTCACTTTTCAAAAATTCAGGACAGCAACATACAATCCACAATTGAATGGACTGATTGAGAAACAACACAGGATTATAAAAGCAAGCTTGAAATGCCATTTACAACAAAGCAAATCTTGGGTAGATGCTTTACCCTTTGGTTTTCCTCAGATTAAGTTCTGCACTGAAAGAAGGTACAAGATACTCTTCAACTGAGCTTCTTTACAGAAGTCCCCTCTGTTTACCTGGAGAATTCATCACCATGATACCTAATATCACACACTCAAGAGTTCGTGCAAAGGATACAAAGTATTATCTATACATGAAACCTTCTGCAACAACTACCCATGGCAATACAGCCGTATTCATTTCCAAAGGCCATTTTGAATTGCTCACATGTTTTCATCTACAATAATGCGGCCACTTCATCTTTGCAACCAGCTTATCTTTGGCCTTATGTTATACACCCAGCATCAAAGTACTTTGAAATTAATGGAACTATCAAAAGAATTTCAATTGATAGACTGAAACCATTTTTACCATAAAAGACAATGATGAGCAGCCTCTTGAAACCCATAGGCACATCCACACACGCAATATGAACCTCAGGGGAAAATTTTGCCACTGGTCAATCACAACCATACCACACGCAGTGGAAGGACCATCAGGTTTCCACCCAAATTAAAGGATTATGTCTCCTAATTGTGTTTACTGGGAAGGGAGTGTGCAGCATCCTCTATGTTTCCTCTTCAACTTATCTTTAATTTCTGTGCATTTTAATTTTCGTAAGATGGCAACAAGAGAGACGGTTAGAAAGACAAACATTCATTGAAATTTTGTTTTCAAAAAAGATACTTATCATTTATATCAATACCGTTTTCTCATTAATAAAAATGGATAAAAAAGTTTGTCCTTTATAGTTTATTAGTAATACTTTAGATTTTATGCAACGGACTTCATTGGAAGCAATCCACTTCAAGAGGAACATGTGTTTGATTGCTCTTAAAATCTATGCCAAACTAAGACCCCCTCTAATTTCACATCTTAACATTTCTCTTCCCCTTGACATTGAGCTTTCTGGAATCATATGTGCCTGACCTGCCTCAAATATTTCATTACATAGAGAAGTATTTATGAAAATTCTAGTTTTATTTGTGGGTCCATTGCACCTGACAAAATAAGTTTTGTAAAATGTTTTCATCATTCCACTTAAAGGTTAACGTAAAAACAGTGATTTTTACTTAATATGAAAGCCTCGGTGATATTTCTGTACATGTAGGCTAAACTGGCACAATCATAGTGCAAAGTATATTAAAAAAAACTGAGCCAAGTAAGGAAAAAAATAAGATTTTTTAAAACCAGATTCTGAAATTTAGAATTTAAAAAGAGAGACTGGGCACTGATGATTGATACCCTACAGATATTATATCTAATACTTTGTGAACTTAAAAAAATTTTAAATGCTTTCTTACTTACATATTGTGAAGTTGAACCTCTACCTGATTATTATCTTTATTTTGATGTAATTTAGTAAATCGCGATTGGCAACAGTTGAGTTTTTTCACATCTATGCTTTTGAGTTTGTTCTATAGTTTTACTTTTCGTTTTAAGTAATGAGAAAAATGACTTTTTGAGATGTTTTTCATGAGTATTAAAAACTGATGAGTAATTTATGCCATTTATGTCTGAGTATTGCTTTGAGGTGTCAAAGCTAAAACTAACACTTAATTAGACTTGTAAATAGAATCGTAATATTAAACTGTTTGTGTTGTGACGAGATGTCTTTCATTGGATAATTGATTGTATACTCATTTTCCATCATAATTCTTCTGATATTGAAGGCAAAACGGAATACATATAATAATTTGGATATTCTTCTGTTTCTATAAAAAGGAAAAGATTTCATTAGAATTTGATATTGCTTTTATAGCATAAAGTGTGAGCCATTTGTTAAAATTTTCATAGTTCACCAATAGCTGAAGGTACCTGATCGACTTCTAAATTGAAGAAAATAATGGTTTTGAATTAGACATCAAATGTCATACATGCAATTAAAGACAAAAACACATTAATTTATGAAAACCTACCTTGAGACGGCGCAGAAAAAGTACTTCACTTAAATCATATAAATCACAAGGGAGAGAACTCTCAATATTGTGGCGAACTATTCAAAAAGGAAGAAACAGAAGAATTAGTACTTTGTAATATTATAATAAAACAAAATTTATGGTATAATATAAAAAATTACAAATTCTTTATTAAGAAAATTGAGTGAAAAAATTAATTCATATGAAAAAGTGAAGCACTATAATATCAAAAAATAACTTATAAGTTATAGACCAGGATTAATCAAACTGAATAATAAAATTTTTGGTTTATTTTACAACCATCCATTACAAAATTTGTTCAAAATTTGCATAAACACTGTTGCTGATTTGTACAGGCACAACTAGACATAAAAGCTGACAAGGAGTTAATTTACATGGTGATCAAGTATTTCTCTCCATTCAAAAATGTGACGCAAAGAAATGGTAGAATCTACACTCATTGCCATAAAAACTTGCACACCAAGAAAGAGTTGTCAGAAAAAAACGAAATTTTACATAAGTACGACTTTGATATAAGTGACTAGAAAATCAAAGAAAAAAGGATCATTTATTGCAGAAACAAGTACACATGAACACAAGTTTTAGCACTCTGTCGGACCACCTCTACCGCGAATGCACGATGCGATATAAGTGGGCATTTAGGCATACAATTCCCATATGGTATCCTCAGACATCTCGTTCCACAATTGTTGTAAACGTGCCTCTAGTTCGGCAAATCTTGTAGGCTGTCCAACTTGCCAACCAAAATGATCCCAGATATGCTCGATTGGTGACAAATCTGGGGATCGAGCAGGCCAGGTAAGGGTGTTAATGTGGTGAAGGCAGTCTTGCGAGATCCGTGTTGTGTGTGGCCAAGCACTGTTTTGTTTAAAACAGGCTCCTGGGAGCCGTGCCATGAAAGGTAACACATGTGGCTGAAGGATGTCATGGACGTACCATTCACCCCTAATATTGATCCATGGCTGTCATTGTGCCATGGATCAATATTAGGGGTGACCATGTATCATAAGCAATGGTCACCCCTAATATTGATCCATGGCACACCATGTATCGTAAGCAATGGCACCCCATACCCCATACCGTAACACCAACTGTGGGAACGGTGTGTTGCTGTAAAGTGAAGGCAGGACTGAGGCATTCACCACGGGCCCTCCACACACGAACATGATCGTCTTCACTGGTCAAATCGAATCTAGATTCATTGCTGAAGATGACCCGGTTCCATTCCGTTAAAGTCCAATCCTATCGTGCCTGACACCACTCCAAACAGAGAGGTTGATGTCATTGGCAGCACATGTAATGGGCACCGCGATACCAGATGTCCTTCAACCAGGTGCCTTACAATGGTTTGGAAAGACACAGGGGCCCATAATGAAGCTGCTGCCTGTGTCTGGATAGTGGAAAATGAGGCAGTTGACTCTACACGTGCGTGTTGTATGATGTGCCTGTCTTCTCGATGACTGGTCTGTCGAGGGCGTCCTGAGCCTGGTCACTATGTAAATGCCATCTCTTTTGTTCACTGGTTCCAAAATTTCCTCACAGTAAAATCAGAACGGCCTACCTGACGAGTTACTCGCCGAGCTGACCTCCCAGTTTCCATCATCTCGATGATTCTCTTCCTCTCGAACTCTTGACAGCTGCTGATAATGGCTTAGATGGCAGCAATTTCTATCTCAGTGTTTCCTTAGCAAAAGATTAAGTACACTCAAACAAGCTCTGCTTACCTGTTTTATTCTCCAAGAAGAACTAAGTTCAATGCCCTATGCACAAACATGCTGCATTTCTAATCATTTGCATATCTACCTGACATGTACCTTCATGCCAAGTTTCATTACAATCCCACAATTATTTCTTGGTGCACAAATTTTTATGGCAATGAGTGTATATATTTGACAGCAAATAAGCAGATACATGAAGGGAAGTTCCCCATGAAACAGAAATGCTTAAAATTATTAATGATTAAGATACATGCAACTTAGATTTCAATAAATGATACACCTTGAAAAATTTTTACAGAAACTTGCTATTCTAAGTTAAGGCCATAAAACACCTAACTTCTAAAGAATAAATCATATGCAGATAATTAATGTTGCATGAAAAACAATCACAGTTTTGGTTTAAAAAAACCTTTAAAGTTTTATAGGAGTTCTCAAACTAAATGCCTTTAGCTTTCAATACTTACTCAGTATAATGACAGCAATCAAATTAATTTTATTTTTCGATTGAGTTGAAAGAAAAATTTTTTACTTTCCCAAATTTTAATGTAGTTTGCAAAAGTTAAGGCTAATTTATTAGCAGTTTTGTATATTTGAAAAAGAAGTCTTCCTTTTCAAATGCAATGAATTTCTAAAGAGGGATAAACAAGCATGAGCTATAATAAATCTATGCACCGATTATCCACTTTAGAGATGTAATAACCACCACTGCTACGTGGCAAAAATTAAAGTCAATATACGAGTGCTCCAATTTGAGCAGCAAATTGTATCTTCTAATTTCATTCAAGAATAAGTTATAGACCATTACAGATCATAAGAAAATTTTCTTGATTGCACGCAAAATGTATGCTTTGTATTGTATTGAATTAAGAGTTTATAATGAAAGTGTAAATCTCTTACTAGAAAACATTAGTTTTTATTGCCAGGTTCATACAGTTAAAAATTACTTCATTGAAAAAAAAAAAAATTTTTTTTCCAGTTGCACATGGCTGCACTTTTTAAAATTATTTCAAAAATGTTTTAAACTGCAAAAATTTTCTCTTTCATGTATTTATTTGCTTTACTTTCGCAGTCTATTTTTATTTCTAGCCTGTTGGGATTGGACAAGTAAGGCACAATTTTTGGTTTAATTTATATATATTATGTTTGACTGCATATTTGTTAGCTCAGAAATAGGCTTATTCTTTTGCAACTCTCAGTGTACCAACTCCCTGAAGAATATACATCTGGAAATTAAATCCTTTCCTTTTATTTGATTTTGCCATTTTATACAGTGGTGTTTGCAATATTTATCATTTCTTTTTCAATTGTTACCAAATTGAGTGTGATATTTGAATTTACATTGAAATTAATTATGAAGAGAGATACATAAACATGTTTCTAATATCATTAATATTATGAAGTTATTAGAAATTCCAGCAAATCACATAAAATGCGAGATTCAAATATGAGTTTTGTTTTACATACAGAACTCATGGTATATAAAGTATATGGTAACAAAAATGGATCCCTCTTAAAATTTTTAAAATATTCATATAAGGGATTCTCCAGTTAAAATTGCAAAAGAAGAATGCCTGTAATAATATTTGATTTATAAAAGCTTATAAAGAGAAAATTCTAGGATTTCAAAGTCTCAAATTTCACCTGCATGTCACAATATTTATGTCATTTGATGATTTTGATGTCTGTGAAAGGAACAGAGTATTGCCAACTATTTGCGAAGCAAACCAGTAAATATTGTAATAATTTCTCCAAAGTTTCTAGTTAAGTTTCAGCACATAACAAGAACTGGAATTATAAAATTATCATGATTTACCAGTGACTACAATATATCAAATCAAGATAAATGATGAAATTTTTACAATTCTCTTCAGAAATAAATAATAAAACATTAAGAACTACAGTGGTTTCAACAGCAGATAAAAATTAGTATTTTTGTAGCCTGCCATCTTTGGAGCAACTCCCCACACAAAAATGGAGTTGAAAGTACGATGTTTCATTTTGATCTGTTGCAACAAACTGGACAATACTTTTTAACTGGATTATGTTAGGCCATATATCTCCCTGCATGTGATGTTACTTATACTATTTTTGTTACATTGTAAAAATAGATAACAAAGCTCAACTTTTGTATCTTTCAACAACAGAATTTCAAAATGAATTACTCTGTTGGAATAATTCATCCAAACAATAAGCTTCAATTAATGGACAAACATGGAAACCAAAAGTTGCACAAGAATCTGAAATATTAAGCCATAGAATAATATTAGAGTCAGTATTGGCTACCAAGCACTTAAAATCGGGAAGGAAGTAATGGTTTTGAGATTAACATTAAAGTAGTAACTAAAAAATAATTGTTTGCACCTTTTCGAGAAACACTTCATGACATTCAACATATAGACTCTAAATTATGAAAGTTCTAACCCCTCCCACAAATTCACAAAACTTAATGATGTTTCAGCAAAACGGAAGGCAATGTCAATACATAAACTGTCAATGACAGTCCAATTTTGAATAAATCAAACTTCTACTTATGTATAATAAAAAGCACTGATCAGCTTTTTATGATGTTTTAGATAGGACTTTGAAGATATTTAGCACCTGACATTTCTTCCTTAACCATTTAACAGTTCCACTTGTATGTCATACGGGCAACTGTTTTGGTGCAACCTGATTTGCTCATAAATAGTACAGGCATCTGATTTCTGAAGTTTAGTTTCTAACAATCCCATATTATTTAGTTTGATTTACTTTGCTTCTAGATTGGAATTACCTGACTGTAAAAGCAAGTTTTCAGGGTTTTATTTCCTCCCTTCTATTGAATTTGTAGTGAAACATCTGCTTTCTCAAAGATAAATTGTACTACATTTGCTAAATATGTCTCTTAGTAAAGTTTGAATACAAATTAAGAAACTTTTATAATCTCATTATTAAAAGCATGTAAAATAACTTTTAAGTTTATTCTACTGTAACCGCATGTTTTAATTTTCATTTGTTCCTTGTTTCAAAATAAACCATACTGAGATAGAATATTAAATTATAGCTCAAATTTCCAGATGTGTAATACATGTAAATTAATCAACCACTTAAAAAAAATACCTTTTGTAACTTCCTTCCTTTCTTGTAACCCTAGCAAAGCCAAAGCACATGCCAACCATGGCCAGAAACGATATACAGTGGAACCCCTCTTTTTCCCCTATTCTTAATCATTATAACTCTCTCTTGTCAGCTTGTATATATCTTTAATGTATCCACTGCTTATTAATTTCGTGAAAATTGGAATAAATGTGATTTGTGTACAAACACATATTCCTACTATTAATGGTTACACGATGAAACATCCCTCACTTTAA